AATTTATAAAAAACTCAATTTAAGCAAACGTGATCAAACGTAACCACTTCCGGAAATACACATCATTTTTAAATTTAAAAAAAAAACAAAACATGCCGTGTTTTTACGTCATTCCCAGACACACACTTCCTGTCTCAATTTTTTTTTAACGACGGTATTAAACAAAAAAAAAACCTCGTAAAACAGGTAAGATCCTAACCGATCGAAAACAAGTATGCGAATGAATTAAGGTATGGAAAAATCAATTGTTTTATATGCCTATCCTAGCGCCGCGGTGCGGTCAAATTTAAAAAAAATTTTTCAATTGATTCATGTTTTCGATTTATCGATTATTTCGCAAATCGATTCCGTCGCGAAAACTTATTTTACGAACACACGCGGCCCAAAGAAAAAATGGCGGTCGTTATTTATTATTTAAAAAAATTTGTAATTTTCATTTTGATGAAAAAATTCAACCGTAATTATTTATTACGTAATTTTGTTTTCTTTAATGTTGTTGTTGTTTGAATTTCCAAAAAGTGGTAAAATTAATTCCAGATAAATTCCAGTTTCGGGATAAAAACCGCGAAAAGTTTTTCGAATCGAATTCCTACCCTTTGACTCATTTAATTTATTATAATTAATTTTTAATTTGTGTGTTAAAAATATGAAATAGAAAGGATTAAATGTTGGAAAATACATCAAAGTAAATTTTCTTACGCCACGTTAAAAAAAAACGACAGGAAATAAATAAAGATTTTCTTTCTTTTTTTGCATGAAAGCTTTTAGAGAAAAAAGAAAAGAAAAATCTAGAAACGTAAAAAACCTTTTCGAAAAGTAAAAAAAAAAAAATACGTTCGTACGTTCGTAATAATAATAATAATCTTCTGACACGTATGTTTATTTATAATTCATAACGATATTAATATTAATAATATGATTTAATTCTTTTTTATTTAATATTATTATTATTATTATTAATAAAATTTTTGAAAAGTGGTACAAAATTTTTTTAGGGGGTGGGGGTTTTAAGGATGTTGTTTGTTTGTAAAGCAGAAGAAAAATATTTAAATTTTCCTTTTTTTTTTTTTGTATAAAATAAATTTCGAATGCGGGCTTTTTGGGTAAAAAAAAAAGAGTAAAAATTAATTTTAAAGTAAAATTTCTAAACTTGATACAAACTTAATTAGTCCCGTTCGTTCCGTTCGCTCGTTTGCTCCGTTCGTTGGAAGGTTTGTTAAGGAAAATTTGTTAAATTTTAAAAAAAAATTTTTCTTTTTTTTATTTTTCCTTTGACATAGTTTGAGATGAAGAATGATGATGTGAGGAAGAGGAGGAAAGGGTAACAAACAAATAGAAAAAGGAAAAAAGGTTTCTTTGTTTAGATTGACGTGAGTGTAGTGGTAGGAAAACGTTCGTTTGATAAATATAAATCTTATTTTATTAACGTTCGCCATTAATCAACCTAAATAATTTTTTCTTTTCTTTTCTTTTAAGCTATCTCTCTCTCTTTCTCTCTTGTTTTCTAGTGTTTTATGAGTTTTTCTTATTCCTTCTGCTTCTATCTGCATCTCTCTTATTTCCTTTGTACTTCTCTCCCTCTCTCTCTATTTTTCTTTTTTCTCTATTCTTTTGTCTCTGCTTCTTTCTCTCTTTCTTTCCTTTTTTTTTTTATTTCTTTCATTCTCCTTCTAATTCACTACAACACTATCTCTATTTCCCTTTCTCTCTCTCTGCCTTTTTCTCTCTGTCTCTATTGTTTTTTCTTTATTTCTTATAATTGTTATTTTTCTTTTTTTATTCTTTTCTCTAAACTTCTGTCTCTTTCTCTCTCTACTTTTCTCTATTTCTTTCTTTCTTCTTTTTCTCTAAGACTCTATCTTTCTTTTTCTCATTCCTATCATTCTTTTTCTCTCTTTACTTCTCGTTGATTTCCTCTCTTGTCTCGCTCTATTTTCTTTTCCTTCTTTTCTATTTTTCTCTTACTGTCTCTTCGTTTTTCTCTGCCTGTCTATTTTTTTCTCTTTCTGTCTTCGTTTTTTTCTTTCTCTTTCAAACTTTTTCTCTTTCTTCCACCTTCCCTTCTTATCTTTGTTTTACTGTATTTCTTTTTTTTAAATTAATTTTATTGCTTTTCTCTCCTTTATTCTTTTTCCTTCTGGTTCTTTCAGCCTCTTTCTTACTTCCTCTCACTATCTGTGCTTCTTCCTAATTTTCCCAATTCTCTGGCTCTCTGAATTTCGCCATTATTCTCTGTTTCTTTCGTTCTCCTTTCGGTTCTTTCCGCCTCTTTTTCCCTTTGTATTTTTTTTTTCAACATCGCTTATATTGGCTCAATTTCTTTCTACATATCTTTACTTTTCTCTTCATCTCCCTCCCTCTCTCTCTATTTGTGTGCTTTTCTCTACCGTTCTCATTTTCTCGTATTTTTTCTCTCTCTCTCTAACCAACCTCTCGCCTTCTTTTTTTTTTAAACTTTTCTTAACATGTTTGTTATTTTTTCAACTTTTCTCTTTCTCTCTCTCCCCTTCTGCTTCTCTACGCCCCTTTCCGTTATTCCTTTTTCATTTTCTACATTTCTTTACCTTTCCATTTTCCTTCTTTTGTATCTTTTTATCGCATACACGTTGTTTTTTTCCCCGGATTTTCTCAAAAATTTTCCTTCTTTCGTATTTGTTTTCCATTTATTTATTTATTTACTTTTTTCATTTCTTTTACTTTCGTTTCAAAAAAAAAGGTTCATTCGATTCTTTTCTTTTATTTTACTTAAAAAAAAAAAATTTATAACCGAGAAACGTTTGAAAATTCTATCAAGAAAAAAAAATAAAATAAAGTAAATTACGCGCGCGTTTTTTTTTTTTTTTTATACAAAACGAAAAGAAAAGAAAATTATCGGGAAAAGTTTTTTTTATAAAAATTTTTATTCTTTCTTTTTTTTTTTTTAACCATTTTCAAATGGAAAAAAAAAAAATTTAATTTTTTTTAATTCTATATCGGTCGTAGAAAAAGAAAATTTTTTTTTTAAAGGGAAAATCCAAAAAACGTGGAAAGAGAATAAAAAGAAAATTTTTTTTTTCTCACGAGAGAAAAGCTTTGCCTGTGACATAAGTGACGTGTTAATTTTATCCTTTTTCTCCATTCGTAAATCGTAAAAAAAAATCTTTCGATTTCTTTTATCCTTTTTTTTTTTTTTTATTCTTCTTACACTTTTTTTTCCTCCCCTTCTCCCCCTCCTCCTCCCTCCATTTTTTCTTTTCCTATTTTCGAAATTCACTCCCGGTGAAAAAAAAAAACTTTATGCCTTTTTTAGCTTTTTTTTTTTTTTACGTAACATTTTTCGGGTTTTCATGATTTTTCCTTATAAACGTGTAAATAGATAAAAAAACAAAATGTTTTTTTATTTCCTTTTTAACCTTCTTTTTTTATTATTTAAATTCTTCTGCCACTTTTTTTTATTTTCCTACCTTCTTAAATCACTTGAAATTTTTTTTTTTTTTTGGGGGTAAAAGTCGGAAAATTTTGACAAATTTTAAACGAATAAAAAAAAATTTTTTTTCTTTTCAAATTTACTGATAACGATGATCGATTGATAAGAAAAAGAATAATAATAATGATAATAATAATAATAATAATAATGATAACAGTAAATTTTTTATTATCGTGACAAACAGAAAGACAACGCGTCGTGTGAAAGTTAAAAAATAAAATAAAATTTTTTTCCCAGAAAAAAAACGTGTCAGTAGACAAAAAAAACATAATTCATCAAAAAAAAAGATGAACATTGTTTTATTATTATTATTATTATTATTATTTTGTAAAAAGTCAGCAAATAAAATTGTAAAAAACAAAAAATTTTTTTTTTTTTATCTGTCTGTCGGTTTTGCGTCAGCAAGTTAAAACAGGCATATTTTTATTCACGTATTCAATCTTTTTCTATCTCACTTACTCACTCACCCTTTTCTCTCTCTCTCTCTTTCTCATTTCCCCTTTTCATCATCCCCCTCCTCCTCCCCGTTTCCGAAATGGGAAAACGTTTCGTTACGTTTCGTTTCGTTTCGTTTTTTTTTTTTTTTTTGAAAAACAATTTAACTTAACAAGTAACCTGGAAATTTAATTTTATTTATTTATAAAAAAAAATTTTCTTTAATTTTAAATTTTATCGTGTCACAAGTGTTTAAACCAAAAAAATTTTTTAAAACCACGACGTTTTGATCACGTCATCATAATTTATTTAATTATCTAAAACCGACACCGACGAAATTTCAACGTTACAAAAAAAAAATTTTTGACATTTTAACGACGTTTTTTTCTCTCTTTTTTTTTTACCCGTGGAACTAACGATACGATTTGACAAATTTAACTAATTACACGATATCACAAAAAAAAAAACCAAAAATGACGTACGTTGATGATGATAAAGTTAATTAAAATTTAAATTGATATTTTCGGGTTTTGTTTTTTTTTGCCCCTGTCTCTCTCTCTCTCTCTCCCCTCGGTTTCAATTGACCTTTGACCGCTTGAAAATTTTTCACGATGATAATAATGATTGATCAATCGATCGATTTTACCGGAAGTAAAAAAATAATAATAATAATTTCAAACGAAATTAACTGAATGCAATTTGGGAAAAAAATCGAAACAAAGTTTTTACCTTTTTTTTTTTTTTCCAATCATCGTTATAATCATCATTATAATCGTTTTTCTAATTCCACGACATGTTTTTTTAAAATTTTAAAATGAAAACGTACCACATAATAATAATAATAATAATAATAATAATAATAATAATAATAATAATAATAATAATTTAAAACGGGATTGCATTTAGATAAAAATTCGACACAAAGGTTTCACGTTTTTTTTTTTCCAATCGTCGTAATCGTCATTATCATCAGTCAGTTTTCTATTTCCACGATAAATTTAAATAAATAAAAACGTACCAAATAGTAATAATAATAATAATAATTTGAATAGTGAAATTTCATGCAGGGAAAAAAGTCGATCCAAAATTTTTACGTTTTTTACGTTACGTTTTTTTTTTTTCCCCCAATCATCGTCGGAATCTGCGTTATTATCGTTTTTCTATTTCCACGACAAATTGAAAAAAAAAAATAAAAATTATAAAAGAAATAACTTACCAGTACGTAAACGGCAAAGGGCATGACCAAAACGGCGACGAGTAAATCGGCAAGTGCTAAACTTACAATAAAATAATTCGTAGCCGTTTGCAGTGTTCTTTCCCGTACAACCGCCATTATGACTAAAACGTTTCCGAAAAGTGTCAAAAACGGAAACACAATCAATATCAATGCCCAATAATTTCCTGTAACGATAATAATAATAATAATAATAATTATCAATACGCCAAAATTTTATTTTCAGTGAAATTTAAAAAGAAAAAAGAAAAAAATTACCCGCCATTGGCGTTGGTTGATGATCCCACGATGAATTTTTTTGTACATCCCAATCTAAAGTCACGTTTGTTTTATTTAAAAATTTTTCGGTTTCGTCGTCAAAATTAAAAAAAAAATTTGTTAAATTATTCGTACGACCGCCGACTTCCGTTAAAAATTCCGCTGCGGCGTTATTGTAATTGTTAAACGTCGACGACGACGATGACGACGACGTGAAAAAATCAAAATTCGTATTAAACGTGTCATTTTTATCGATATACGTTCTATTTCCGGTACCGTAACCGTAATTTTTACCTTCGTCCGCGTCTAATGACCCGTTTAAAAAATTAAAAAATGTATTTTCCGATAACGGTGACTCGACGATATCAACATCGTCTAAGAGCACTTCCGAATTTCTTTCGTATGACGTCACGTTTCCGGTTTTCCCTTGTTCTTGTTCGTCTTTTAACGTTACATAAGGTACGGGTGATGACGTAGAATTGTCATGATGATAATTATGATGATGATGATGATGATTATCATCATTATTATCACCATCATTAGGTTCGTTAGCGTTACTATTACTATTATCATTACTACTATTATTACTATTATTATTATTATTATCGTTATGTAAAAAATGAACGGGATGAACGATCATTTCGTTTTTTTTCCCGTTCATTGTTTCCTTTTCGTTTTTATCCGGTATATTTTCGGAAAATTTATTTTTTATCGCGGAAAAAATAAGTCTTATGGAATTTTGATCCCGATCCGTTTTATTATTTCCTCCTCTACTTCCGCCGGCCCCTCCACTCCCGTCGAACGATTTTTCATTTTTCCCACTTCCGGTTCCTGCTCTGTTCAAACTGTTTATCAATTCTTTTATCTTTTGTATTCTTTCTCTTCCCTCATCGTTTTTCGATTGTATTCCCTTTGTTTTTTTCAAAAAATATCCAACGTCGTCATCATCATTCGCCATCTTTTATTCTTTTTTAATTTCATTTGGGTGTTGTAACGCCTGAAAATAAAAAAAAAAATTTTTTTGATTAGAAAAAAAGAAAAAATTCGTTAAAAACGACGAACGCCGAACGTGCCGAACGCCAAAAGTCAAACACCGAACGCCGAACGCCAAACGTACCGAACGCCGAACGTGCCGAACGCCAAAAGTCAAACACCGAACGCCGAATTAAACGTTCGGACCGGAAAACGTTAAGAAAAACAAAAAGAATAAAGAAAAGAAATGAAAATTAAAAAACAATTCTATTGACACGATAATTAACGGAAACGTTTTTTTTTTGTTCGGAGAGAGGGGGGAGGGGAACGTTCTGACGTCACTTTTAAAAATATTTTGAATTTACCCCTTCGCTTCGAACCTTTTCCGACCAATCATTTTCCACTAATTTTCCTTCCTCCGACCGAAAAAAAAAAATTTTTTTTATTTTTTTAATGTAATTAATAATAATAAAATAAATAAATTTTTAAAAAAATTTTTCCCTCCAAATTTTTTCACTTCCTGTTATCCGATTCTCGTAATCGAATGATGATGATAATTACAACGGGGTGAAAACCGAAAAACGAATAAATATATATATGAAAAATAAAAACGTTTAAAAATTCCTTTATGACGTCATGATTGAAATAAAATCAAAGTGGTTGTTTCCTTTCTGCTAAAACAATATGGCGGATAAACGAAACGATATTTTTTTTAAAAAAACCTCCCTCCATTTAAAAAAAAAAAAATTTTTAATTTTAATTTTTTTTCTTTTAGTTAAAAAAAAAAAATTATTTTCCCTCCTTTTTTTTAAAATTTTTTTAAAAAAAAAAAAAAGAGTTGCCAATCTATCAAAGTCAAAAAAAAAAAAAGAGAAATGAAGAAAGTGGGAAGAGAGAGGGGAGAAGAGAGGAGGGAGGGGCACGCAAATGTTTCAAATGTGTTCCAGACTGTTGGAACCGGATAAAAACTTTCTTTTTTTTTTTTTTATTTAAATAAAAAAAGTGAATGAGGAATCAATTTGTTTCTCAAACTGAATTTTACGGTGAAATTTTGTGTTTCCGGTAAAATTTTCTTCCTGCCACCCCCACCCCCCGCCCACTCTCCCCCAGTCACTCATTCGCTCCCACTTTTTTCTTCTTCTTTTTTTCTCCTCGAAAAAAAAATTTTTCAATTCACTCGATAAGAACTTCACTAATAACAATAACCGTATCAAAACCGGAAACGATAATTAATAATAATAATAATAATAATAATGGTAATATAATAATAATAATGAAACGATTAAATAAAACTCGAACGATTTTAAAATTATTTAATTTTAACAAACGTTTATAAAGGGATCAAAGTGTTATTGCCAATCACGCGACAGTTAAAATCACGTTTCCGGTTTTCGATTCGTGCATTCGTTTCCGTTTCCGTTTTTTTTCCTATCTCGATTTTACATCCGAAAAAAAAGTGGCAGGAGAAAGAAAATTTAAATTAAATCGATTCGACGTTACACGAAAAGTTAGGGGAAAAAAAAATTTTTTTTGAAAATGGCGGGAAAAAAAGCAAATTCAAATTTAAAATATTTATTTTTTACGACAAGGAAAAAAATTCCCTTCTCCAACTTTTATTATTGCCTTCTAATGCATTATTACGTATCGAAATTAAAAAAAAGGTCGTAAATCGGTTGTGAGGGTGGAGAGTGGAGGGAAGGATAGGAGGAGGAGGAAAGGAAGGGGGAGGGAAGGAAGGAGAGAAGGAAATCTACTACAGACGAACGTTTAAAGAAAAAAAAAGAAAAAAAAAATAAAAACGAAAAAAAAAAAAGTGGAATAAAATGATCGCGATCGCGTTCAATAAAAACCTTTTTACGTACCTGAAAAATTCAATAGGTAATAAATAATTCCGACATTTGAAACGCGTCACGTGTTTAAGGATTGGTATTTATTTATTTATTTTTAAAATTATTTTTCCCGTCATTAATTTTTCCTTTTTTTTTCTTTCTTTCCTTTAAATTCCGTTTAAAAAAAAACATAACTCACTCACGTTTTCGTTTTCCGGTTAAATTATAAATAATAATAATAATAACCTTTGAATTCATCCTATTTTCCCGGGGTTTTATTTTTTTTTGAAATTTTTATCATTTGCTGCAATTTCGAATTGCTGCAGATAAAAAGGTTTGAAAAAAAGGTTTTATATATATAAAATGATAGCAGAATTTGATAACAAAAAAACGTCATCAAAGGTATTTGATAAGAGAAACGAAATTAAAATGGCGACCGTTAAAAAAAAAAAAATTTTTTCCGTTTGCATTCATTCGATTCGATAAATAAAAACGAATTGTAAGTTAAACATTATTTGTAAATTCATATTCATAAACATTCAACTAGAACCGGAAGTTGTTAAATTAAATTTTTTCTTTTCCCTTCACGGCGTTGTTGCCAAGTCTTTGTTTTCTCACACGTTTTATTACTTATAATAAAAAACTGTAGAGAGAGAGAAAAGAAGAAGAAACGTCGTCGTTTTTTAATGTTATTATTATTATTATAACTTGTAAAACATTCGTATCGTAATGATTGAAAATATTAATGTTAATAATAATAATAATAATGATAATGATAATGTTTATAAATAAAAATAACGGTTTTATAGCAATACTACACGCTATAAAATTAAATTTTACGAGTTTCTTTATTATTTTTTTTTTTTTCATAAAATTATTCAATTCATAAAATTTGCACTTAAATAAAAAAAATTTTTTTTATACGAGTTGTTTGCTACGTTTACGGTTTTCTCTCTCTTTCTCTCTAATTATATTTCTATCTCTGTCTCTGTTCTGAGTTTTTTTTCTCCCGCTTTCTCTCTATTTGAATACACTTCTACCCCTGTTTCTCTCTCTATTTGAGTACATTCCTTTTTTGCCTCTCTTTCTCTCTATCTGGGTATACTTCTACTTCTCCTTCTCTCTCTTTTGTTTTTCCTTTCTGTCTTTGTCTCTGAGTGCACTTTTATTTTTATGTTTTTCTATGTCTACTTCACTCTCCCTTTCTTCCTCTTCTTTTTTCTACTCTCTTTTTTAATCTCTTCACCTGCCCCTCTCTTTCTCTATCTATCTCTTATTCTCTTCTTCATCTGTCCCTCTCCTTCTTTTTTTATTGTTTCTTACTCTCTCCCTTTCTCTCTTAATCTCTTCTTCACCTTTCTTTCCCTCTCACCCTTTCTTTCTCTCTCTCTATTTCTTCGCCTTTCTTTTCCTCCTTTACCACCCTGTCTGTTTTTATTTTTTCTTTATATTTTTGCAAATTGAAAATTAAACGACAATGAATTTGTTTGGTTGATGTCATCATTATGAGTTCCATGCACCCACGACCGGAGTTCTTCCAGCACATATTCCAGGTAACCTTTATTACTTTAGTAACACCGGTGGCGACGATGCACAAAATCATTTTCAAAACCAAACGATGGAATTTCCTGTTTTTTAAATCCCCTACCAGCGATCGCAACATGATTCCAGTGTTCCTGCTCTTTCATAACAACCCAAAATCATTTCCGTTTTTATTTTCCCACATCCTCATAGATTCAATTTTCAAATTTCTATATATTTAGTCTTTTTTACTACCGGTACGGGTACTTCGATTAATTGCGTCTTATTATTACATCCGGTTTGTCGTCTAGTATATCACTTCCGGTTGTGTTTATTAATAGGTCGTATAAAACCGCCATTGCTATCGGTGATCAATCTTAAGGCTTTTATCATCATCGTAATAACAAAGAAAAACAAATATCTACAAATCGATTTTATCCCTTAAAAATAATAATAATAAACTACTGTCTTTTGAATTTTCCATTTAACTAAAACGGGAAGACGGGAGGCCTTCGGGATAAAAGGAGGGAGGTTAAAAGTGCGAAAAAGGGTTGGAAAATTAATTTTTTATTCATTTTCTCTCTATAATTATTAATTAAAACTTTTTTCAAAAGATTTAATTTTAAATATATTAATAATAATAATAATAATAATAATAACTGACGAGAATTTTTTTTAACATAAAAAAAAACCGGAAGTGAAAAAAAATAAATAAAAAATAAAATTTTTTTTTATCCAGTTTAATTTCATCGTAAATTATTAATGATAACTGATATGAATAATGATAATGATGATGATAATAATAATAATAATAATAATAATAATAATAATAAATTATTACAAGTGTTTAAACAATTAAATTATTTATAACACGACTGGAAAACTTTTTTTATTTTCCATTTTGTTAAATTCTCGTTACTGGAAAACATCAAATCAAATCAAATAAATTTTTTTTTTATCTGGAAAATTATTATTATTATTATCATTATTATTATTTTTACGTAACGTTCGTTATTTTCTTATCCGTTGTTGTTTTTTTTTTTTTTTTTTTTTTTTGTGTTTATTCTTTCATTTTTTTTTGTTTTTTATGTTTTTTCATCAGAAAACAAAGTCGAAATAAAATTAAAAAAAGAAAAAAAGGAAAAATGGAAAAAAGGAAAAAAATGGAAGAGGAAAAAAGGAGGGGTGGGGGAAAAAAAACATTAACGAGGATTTTTAAATTTCACGCGTTATTTATTTATTTTTTTTTCCCAACGCCTTTTCACCGCCTTTTTAAAAACACACGCACACACGCACGCACACGCACGACTCCTAACGGTTTTTTTTCTCTCCAGGTTTTTTACAACCTTTTTGGCTGCTGTTGTTGTTGTATGAAAAACAAAAACTGAAGAATGAAACGATTGAGAGAATGTGTGCGAATGAAAAAAAATAAATAAAACGTTTCGTTACAACAACAACAACAACAACAATAATAATAATAATAATAATAATTATTATTATTATTATTATTATTATTATTGTTATTATTCGCTCTTAAAAACAAACGACAAGTTCCACGTAGTCGTCGGAAATTATTATTATTATTATTATTATTATTATTATTATTATTATTATTATTATTATTATTATTATTATT